TCAGAGAAACATATCAGAAAATGCCCTCTCTTATTTCTATATTTTTATCTTTTCCAGAGAACACGGAAGTTTCTCCCAAATGGTGAATGCCACATTCCTAAGGTTTGCAGTACATAAAAGCTCTAGGTCAAAAAAAGTGATTAACTCACAGTTTGTTTCATAAGGAGGAATTGGATTGATGTTCCCAGCTTTTCTCCATCTTTTGTATGACATAACACAAGTCTTTCAGTTCCTCTGTAAAGTACAACACGACATCTTTGCATTCCCCCAAAACCAGACAGGAAAAGGGAACATGACTGTGACTAAAGGTAAGAACTCATGTCCCACAAGTATCACAGCTCTAAAGCAACGCAAAACCCTAAGTTTGCCAACAGAAGCAGACAGAACATGGGACTAAACACTTTTCACCTGATATACAAATCCTATTCACTATTGCTGTCCATTGTGAAACAATTTCAGTAAAACAAGTACATGAAAAAAGCCAAAAGCACTAAAATGCATTCCTAGGCATTACATGAACTCTGAACTCTGGTGCCATGGCAGATCAAACCTATGTAAACCAGGTTCTAGTGGCCCTACCTCCTTTGCCAATCCCTGTTATGGGTTTCCTGTCTCTGTGTTGTACCCAGAAGTTATGCCTGTGAGATCATACACTGGGTGGTGCAGAAATCTAATACAAATTACAATTAAATCAGCCCCCTAAAGGCAGTCAGTAGCCAAATCAGCCCCCTGAACTGTCCTACGACATGATCACTAGTGCAAGGAAGAAGGCAGCAACAACACACAGTGGGGAGAGCTAAGAGGAGGCTGGGATCATACAGCTGTCCAGCCATAAACTGGTTTAATTTGTCGTGGAATCATATGTGTTACTGTCTGCAATCTAAAGTGCACAAGTAAAAGCACAGAAAGCATCTAGAGCTCCACTTCCTACTCATTTCATTGTCTCTCTGCAATAATAATTTTTTTTTGTTTCTGTGTTTTGGTTGTATCTGGTTAAGAGAGAGTGTAATCCTGGGCAAATGTACATGAACTGTTTAGTGAATAACAGCTCGTGACTTTATATTCTCCAGTTTTGCTGCCAACACTCAACAGCTACTGGTTAAGTTAGCTGATTTTTAAATTTTTTTAATCATCTTGTGACATGGACAGACTCCTCTTTTCATTTCTGTCTCAGCTAGTACTGACAAAACAAAAAGCATTCCTTACAAATACATGAAAAATAACTCATGAAAAGGAAGTATTGGAAAAAAAGTAAATTGAAAAGGAACGAAGCAATGCGTATTGAAGAATGGAAATCCAATGGCATGTCTTAAAAAAGCATTAACACTGTCATCTAAAATAAGATTTTAATTAGTAACGGATTTAGATTCTGTACACGTAAGAAGTGATACAACAACCTGCTAATTGGAGACAATACTATTCAAATGTTACTGCAGAACAAAGACTGGTACATAATTATTGCAAGGAGTGGGAGGGTTATAAGAAATGTTTCAGTCTAGTAGATTGAACCACAGCTGAGAAAAAGCTAAAACTGTAACCTTGAAAACAAGCATTAATAAGCTACTGTCACCACACAAGAGGGATAAAGAACATGTTTGTTTACATACGGAATGAATTTTTGCTTACTGCAAACCTACCTTTCACAAGACAGTCATATACATATATACACAGTATTTGTGTACATACGTGAAAACGAAATACAACTTTTAACATTTACTATAGAGAAGCAAGACTTCACACTCTAGGACTGCATATTACAAAGGCTCCTATGGAAATAACTTCACAGTTTATAGCTTGTTTAGTAATAATTTTGACAACATGAGCTGGGAGAACTTACGTGTGGTTGATTTTTTAAAATTATTAATATACATTTTAAAAAATACTACTATAGGAAACAAATGCTCAGATCTGGTGCCTGTGTTGCCATTAATAATCCCTAATTGTCTCTGAGACAGAAACAGCGAACGACCTCACCTAACAGTGATGTTGTAAAAAGAAATTAATTATTACTGTATTTGCAGAGCACTCGGCAACCACATTGAGAAGCAGCACAGAAAAGCCTATGAGGAAATCAATCATTCTACATTCAGTGCAGGATCTGGCAGATGTGCAATAAAGCAAGCCTGGAGACATACATTAAATATGAAGATAAAAAAAGATTCTAGCCATTAACAGCAGAAATAATATCCCCTGAATGAGCATCGTCTGCCTTAGGCATTAAATGCTTGACACAGTACCATTCAATACAAGGGAAAAACTTCTGATTAATGTGGTAAGATTATAGCAAGTACCAGCCAGGTAATTCTACGAAAATATAAAATTTGATAATGTAATTAAAGTCTATCATAAATACATGTTTTGGGACTAGTATTTCCTTGTTTCCACATGCTTAATTCTGCAGCTAAATAATGCTCCCACAGTGCAGCAATTACTAGCAAATGGACATTAACTCAGCACTCAAAGGCTCCTGTCATCACACTCCTAGGTGTGTTATATATTATCACACTGAATCAATCCATGTTTCACACTGCAGCTGCTCAACTGCTTCTGTAATCAAGCTACCCTGTTTACAGCTAGCTCAAGAAAGTCAGGATAGCAAAGACACGACAAAAAAAAGGCTTAACAGTGGCAAACCAGCAGGTTCACAGCTAGCTCAGATATCTGTACTAACATTGCAACTGTAAATTACTAATTTTATTTTATTCTACATCAGTTCAGTTCTGCTCTCCCATCCACATAAGTGATGCTTTATCTTACCCCATCAGTTCAAATCTGAAGTCAGATTTCAACTTTCTCCTCTGTTAATCAGTAGGGACGGCTGCTGGAGAGGAAGGATGTGTAGGGAGGACTCTAGGATGCACCCCTGGGTTGGAAAAGGTCTATCAAAGTTGCTTTCTACAGTACTTCAGAAATGGGGAGAAGAGGCAAGGGGGCTCCATGCATGCCTGCCTAGAAAAATGAAAGATGTGCTAGATGGCAGAAACAGTCCCAACATCTGTGCTGGGATGCAGCAGTCCTGTAACATATCACGCTTCCTGGTACAACAAAACCCCACTGCATGAAACAATATGGATGACCAGGTATTATTCTTCAAGTAAACACATATAAACCCATGCCACTGTGTCAAGACTCAGACTTTGATCTGGGTTACTTGTCCGAAAGGGCACACTACCTGAAGATGCAGCCTGAGGCAGATAACCATGGGCTGAGTAACTGAGTAACTGCAGCCTTAAACCTTCCCGGGCAGTGGATCTACAGGTACATCCTGGGGCTGACACCCAAATTATCCCTCATCCTGACCCCAGGAACCAGCCCGCAACAGCATGGGGACACAGCTCAGGGGTTCTGATCACCAGTCTGCTGAAAAGGAAGGCAAGGCTCTTCCACCTCCTCTACGCAACAGCAACTGTGTCTCACATTTAAAAGGACAGCCCACCACTTGGAGACAGTCTGACTCTCGTGTACAATTTGCCTTGGAAAGAAGAGGCTAGTCTATGCTTACCTAGCAGGGTGAAGGCAGGATCAAGCATGCAGGAAACTCCCAGAGTCCCACAGGGTACGTATATGGGTTTTTTCCATGCTACTGCCCATGGCTTGGGCTCCAAGCATATTTACTGCTTAGGAACAATCAGCTATTTATTAGCTGGTGAATCACAGAGTATTGCTCGGGTCCTACTTTGTCTAATCCAGACACCGCAAGTGGGAGTTTAGATCTGTTCAGCCAAATGTATTCTACTCCGCCATCTCGAGAAGATTCAAAACTTAGCTGAACTATTGATATATAGTTACTGCTGTCCAAGAGGAACATTTCTATTAATAAAAGGTGCTTGGCATACTTTCTAAGAAAAATCTGACCAGTTACAGGGGGAAAAAAATGAGTTATTTTCCTGAATGTACATGTCCAATTGATGACACAGAGTTCCCTTTAAAGTATCAATTCTGATTAATTTCTGAGGATGCAGGTGGCCAGCAAGAGATTAGTAAATTTAGTAGACAGATGTTACAGGATAACACAGCAAGCTTAATGATAGGTTTGTCATCAGCTAAGACAGTGGTAGTAGGTAATATTTTTTCTCCAGCAGATATGGAAAAGACTAATGTAGATACATTTGACGTTATTAATATTTGCATGCTATTAATATGTGTGTATTATTAATATTATTGAACTAATGGAAAGAGGGGTAGAATTAGAATCACAGGGAAAAGAAACCACTTTTCAAAACCAGTTTCATTGATATTGATATTAGAATACCTGTTTCTTTTTCAACACACATCAGAAAACCATAATTCCTTAATTAACAGATGTGTGACAAAGCTGATATATTCTTAATGGTTATCAAAGGATTGGTATCACTTTTTGTTATGTAACAGAAATAATCAAAGCCCTAGAATAGGCAGTGTCATAAAATGACAAGTATCTGTAGTTAATATACTTAAATAACATGTCAGTCTTGGTCAAAAGACAATTTCTTTAAGGGACCAGAACTTCCATTTGTAATGTTCTTTTACAAATTTGAAGCCTCAAAACAACAATTAGGAAAACAGGCACATAAGAAATATGTATAGCACAGAAAACCTTATCAGTTGGCTAAATCTAGCTGATGGTCTATTTTGCAGTGCTTCAGAATCATGAGTACCACAGACATATTGTTTTATGAATTTATTTTTGCTGTTGCTCAAATTAGGAAATTATCTTAACCCACAAGGTACGACAGCAGTCTCTCAGGTTATGTTGCCTGCCATAAGAACAGCTACAGCGAGTTTAAAAACCTCTCTAATTACTGCATCACCTTTTTAAACACTTGCAAACTGCAATCATCAACTACAGTAACAGAATTTCAGATTTTTGATAACTATGAACCAGAGAAAGCTGAAGGATTATAGGGTAATAGTGTTAAACCAACAGTGTACATTTTATACACTATCCAAGTCTGCATTTTAAGTAAAAGAAACATTATGTAGCAGTCAATAGCATGAAAACATAAAGACCCTGGTCTTACCCTTTGTTTTCAAGTCGTTTAATACCTTTGATTCCATGGGCAGTATATCGCTCACCAGTTTTATCTCAATATTGCGGGATGCCAGTTCAAGCAATTTTTCAAAAAGACGCTGACCCTGGGAAGAACAGTAAAAGAAAGGAGAATTTGTAAGACAGAATTGCTCAAAGAGCATACCAACAAATTAAAGATGCATGTTAAAAACTCCTCATATTGCACTACAGCTAAGTAAGTATATTTCTAGATATGGTAAAACCTGCCCTAAAGGTTAGCAACTCAAACAACTTTTTCTTGGACAAATACTGTTTTGAAGGCCAACCTTGCTTCTTTTCTCAGATTGTGCAATATTATTGATGACAGGTGACACGTAGAGAATAAAGTGTCCATTTTTTTTTATGTTGCATAAACATATTTTCACATTAACTTTCTTCTAAATGATTACATTCTGTTAAATTAGGATTAAAAGTGCAAGGAAAAAAGAGTTTATTACACTTATCCCTTATTGATTTTTTTTTAAGTGGCTCTAACCACACTACAACACATTTTCAAATGGTCACAAGCTCATCCTTAGATAAGCTATGCCAGAAAGGAAATCAGTGATCTATGTTATTTCACATGCTTTGCCTTTTTACGCTATTATAACTTCACTATCTAAGCCCTATTTCTAACACAACAAAAAATGAAATCCTGTGCTTAGCTAGATACATGTTGAAACTGAAATTAAGATTTCTTTCCCATGAAAGAGACTACTGTTTATGTTTTACTTTTGTAGTATTTGTCTGCTTGCTGACTCAAATTCACAACCTAGCTCCCTGCTTATCCCCGGACACGCAGGAATTTAGTCGTCAGTAAGATGCTGCCACAATGAAAGCATTAGATGATAACTAACAGAACAGGAAACCAAAAATACGGCTTTGCATGAAGCTCCAAATGCTTCTTGTACTCAGACTCAACATTTGTTCAGGTGACGAGGTGGTCTCATATGTAAGAAATAACATCCATGATTTAACTTGCACCTTCAAAAGCCCAAAATCGCTGAGTTGCTGTGGAAGTCAAGGAGAGGCTTGTCCTCACATTTCTCATGAAGCTAAAAAGATCCTTAATTCTCACATCAATGGTTCTGTTGGTGTTCATTTCTTTAAGGAGAAGAGTGGCTGGATGTTACCAGATGTAAGAATTAATGAGATAATAGTGTGTAGAGGATGGATGCTGCACACAGAGTTGTGCAGCATCTCCACTGTGGTCCTGGGGAAGCAGAGGGGCACTGACCAGTATTCCTGGGTGCCCCACTCCCCTCAAGAGGGTCCTTTCTGCAATTGTTTGCATGTCTAGGCTCTAATCAAACTGTGGAAGAGCCACCTCTGTGCTGTTGTCTGCTGGGTTCCCAGCCCATACCTTGACTTGCAACCCAGCTCCCCCATGGCAACAGGTTCCTGACATGTCAGAGCTCGGGCAGCCTTTGAACCCAATTCTTCCAGGTCCACCAACAGTTTTGATTTTCATTAGTTATAGTTTTGCAAAAGTGAGCATGGAAAATTAAGGACTAAAAGGTTTGCATGATGTAAATTAATTACGTATATTTATTTAGAAACTTAGCAATGTAGAAACTTAGGTGATTTAATTTGCTAGATAGAAAGAGACACTGTTTTTGTCTGGGTTATCTGTAAAATCTAATTTTGACTAGAAGCATAGTAGAAAGCTACACCATACAAAAATACACATGTAAAAACATTCACATATTTGATGGAAAGTGATTTGCATTATCAATACAAATTAATGCATTAACTGTTCTGCTACAGAAATGCTCAGAAAGTTAATGTCTAAAGCTGATAAAATTAACTGCTTCAGTTAACAAAAGAGTTAATGGGGATGGTTCTTTCCTTCTTCTTCCCCATGGTTAGACATTATTACCACTTTTACCTGCACAAGATTTTATTTATCTAATTTAAAAAAGCTTTGATAAACCAACCCAGACTTTCTGTATAATTTTAGTTTGGACAAGGAAGAACATGGCAGCATTTCCTGAATTTTACCTAACCTTAGTATGTCCTTATGTGACCAACATCTTAACTGAAAATACATGTCTTTTTCCACCAGTGACACCACAAGCTATGGATTTATAATATCCTTTCTTGATCAATGATGTTCTTAAATGCTAAAACCTCAAATTGATAAAACATTTAAAGCATCTCTAAGTAGCAATGATTAAGACTAGGAATGCACTCACCACAAATATGTGTGTTTGTAGAGGTATAGAAAAAACACTACCCAGTGCCAGAACTGGAAAGAATTCCCTCTGTCTCATTTCTTGCTGCATCACTCCTCAGCAGGCATTCATACACTCACCAAGGCTTAGTCTAGACACTAAACAACTATGAAAAAAATCACAACTTGCTTTCAAAAATCTGTACAAGCTATAGCAAAATAGGGTACTAGAAATTCTTCCTTCATTGTTGAGGAACCTGGCCCTCTTCCCCATTAATATGAATCTGAAACTCAGTTTCTGTACTTTCTGACATGTTTACTTGCAATTTTACTGTTTTGTTCTATGAAAAGAAAGAAAGATAGGACAGAAGGTCTGAAGAGTTTTGTCACTGCTGTCAGCACATTTGAAATGCTTCTGTTGAATACAAACCTTCATGCTGTCTTTCAGATCACATTCCCTTTGTGAGACAATATCAGGCTGCTGCGTGACTACGTGACAGCTATCAGAATCATTTATACATACTCAGCTTGTGAAGACTAATAGTAGCAGCCAAGTGTTATAAAACTGCAGTTATATCATATCTGTATTTTAACAGACAATACCACCAGAAATCTGCCTATCCTGATAAAATAGTCTTTCACCCTTCTCATAGGGCTATTAAAAAAAAATATGCAACAAACTACTGAAAGTAACAAAATAAGATGCAAAAAGTATTTACAACATGAACAAACTAATATTCTCATGGCAGCTTTAAAATATCATCCAACTGAAACCTCAATCCCAACCGTACCTGCCACAGCCACACAGTGAATTTTGAAAAAGAGAAAGTTACCATTACCAAAAGGCCCTGATATTGCCCCTAAAGCAATTTCTTAGCAGTCACTAGGCAGGCTGATTTCTAGCCTGGCTGATCTCCCTTGCCTGCTGTTGTCTTTATCAGCAAGTGCTTCTCATTAAAAATAAAATAGTGGAGATATGAACATGAAAATGCTGTATTTATTGAAACACTCTAAAATTGCATTATTGTGCTCTTCAGTAACTTAGATTCCTACAGTTTAGATAACGCTTAGCTTTTTATTTCTACAAAAATAAAATTCATTATTTCTAGAATTTTCTTCTGGATTTATTCTATATAATTCTACTAATATTTTTACAAATTGTCCTGTGATCAAGGCTCTTGGTATATCTATAAAATATTGCTAAAAATAATGGCATGCTAGCAGAAGCTAATAGAGCAAATAAATCAAGAAGTTCTAACTTGTGCTATTTAATGCAGAACAGAAAATCTCAAATGCTCTCCTCAAATTCTTCTAAGCAAAGCAGCTAATAAAAAGGGAGGGAATGTGCTTTCATTTTAAAAATTCTCCCTTTTAAAATTATTTTTCTACGCCTCAGTCTGTATCAGCTGCATCGAGGAAATGCCACCACCTGAATAGAAGAGACGAAAATACACTGCGATCTCTATAGCTGATTGTAGCTGATTTCTGCCGGTAGCTGTTAGGTTTGGAGATAGGCTCTTTGTACTTATTTGCATTTTTCAGTAATTGTCCAGGACGAGTACTTAACAGGAGAAGCCACACATTCACATTCCACCTCTACCTGACAGCTACCATGCTATCTTGAAAATGCACTAATGACAAAGTTGCCAAAACACATGGTTTTCTTCTGAATAAGAAAAGCAAGTATAGAAAGCCTGCTCAGTATTTTGCCAAACAAATACTTGTTTGCTTCACCAGTTAAGCTGTAAAAACACACAAAATCCTGTACCATCAACTGCATTTTCAAACTGCAATTTAGCCAGACTCATGGATGGCTGAGCACAGCAGTTGTGACCTGGGCACCCAGTCAGCAATGACTGTTTATTTAGATTTGTAACAATAAAACACAGACAGGCAACTGTCAAGGACAGTAGGTAACATAGCCATAAACGAAAATGAAAAAAATCCTCCAAAACATCAGGAAGCTCTTTAGTTTTATATACACACATGTATACATACACAACTGGAAAAAATGGACAATATTTATACATATGGATATGTATTTTTGACATATATATGTGTGTATATAAAATTGCAGAACTTGCTGCTGTATTTTTATTCAATACACATATTGAACATATCTGTATGTATATATAAAATATGCACTTATACAGAGACCACAGTTAAACCTGGTAACTAATTAAGAAGAAGCAATCTAGCCTTCTCAGCTTTTGCCCTTCAAAAATCCACATCTGTTGAAGAGCTCTTGTAGAGAACCTTGCTTTGCAACATGCCTTGAATATTCATAAAATGGAAATCACTAGTTATAGCGCAGGATGTGGGTCCATGTGAAAAATGGTTATGTCCTTAGTTTCTGATAAAACAAGAATGATTCAAGGATCAACTGGAACTTAGCCAGTAAGCACCATACTACCTGGAAATACTACCTAGTATTTTTTCGCACATTTCCCTGAACTCAAATTGTAGCAACTTGAGGACATTCAACTTATACTTCAGAAAAATCACTAGATTCCAATTATTGAATCTTCTCTGAAATTTCACTTTCATTTTAGAAGTGGAGAAAGCAGATGTAAAGATACAAGTTTCTCTCTTCCCTTTCACACACCAAGCTTTGTGCACATTCTCTGGGGCAGCAATTTGCTAAGAAATGCTGCCTCTGGGCAATTTCTTTAGCAATTAGACTGGGCAATAACAACATAGTGTTTTAGCATGAATAGACAAGCTTGACAGAAAGATCTATCAGCTGTTCAGCCCACGCTGCTGTACGAATGAGGAAATGACTGGAATATTAATTGCCTTTAAACAGAAGTAATTACTCACTTTCGTAAGACCACTAGCAGGCAGAAATAGATAAATAGAATAGAATATCATGAAAAATGTTTCATTTTTCTGCTTTTAACAGTATATTTGA